TATTATTTTAAACTCTCTACAAGCATGTATAATAGTCAACTTAATAAGATTTGTTTTTAATTTAATTAACCACAAAATTCACAGAATGTATATTAAGACAGAGTATACCCCATTCGCCGTGGTGTACCTTTTGTTCAGCATTTACTTGTTGGTTCACCAGAACACTCAATGTTTCAACCTCATGCTGGGGTTTGTTTGGGTTTTGGGGGTCTCCTGGCCCCAGTCCACCTGCCCCGGCCCCTGTCCCTGTCCCTGTCCCTTCTGTCCCCTACCGCCCAACCAGGGCTCCCTCATCCACTTTGGTGAGGGTTCCCCCCCTCGGTCGCTCTCTATCACTGACAGTTAGGTGTGTTGATCCCTGGGGATTGGCCAATGCCTGCAAGCTGCTGGGCTGCAGCCGGTTTGGGTTCAGTTCGTTCCTGGGATGGGATGCGATGGAATGGGATGGCTGGGAGTCGAGAGTCGAGCTGGATGGAGACCCCAAACTGGCAATAGCCCATAGTCCGGACCGGACGGTGGGCCATCGCAGGCCGAGGCCATTTGCATTTGTCACATTTTGCGGTCCCGCGAGCAAAGTTTGGCAGAGTAATGTTGTGTCCACCCCCTTTTGGGGTTTATCAAAGCAAATCAATCAGATGCACACACACACAGTCACACACACACGAAGACACAGGGAAACACAGGGACACACTCAGGATATGGAAATGGAGACCATGTCAGTCGGTGGTCACTTGGGGATTGAGGTCCTGCGACTGACCACTGGCGCCCAACTTACGTTTGAGACAGGCGCGCGGCTTGGCCTGTTTGCGTCGGGACATGGCCAGATTGGCTATTTAAATCACTGTTTTTCGATTCAGTTTCGCTTAATATTGCTTTTGCTTTAGTTCGCTTCCGGCTTTCGTTTCGCGCCAAAGCGATTTGTTTTGGTTTCTTTCTCGACTGGCGAATCCTGGCAAGCGCTGCGGATATCCTTGCGCCTTGAGCGTCGGCAACTGACTGAATGCTGCCAGCTTGTTTGGCCCAAAAAGTGGCATCAAAACACAAGCTCTTAAAACAAAATGGAATGCGAACAGCGCAATCGCAAAGAGAGATTGAGAGACGGAAATGAGAGGCGAGGATGAGGGGGCAAAAACAGCCACCCAAGCACTCCCAATTCAAGCACAACCATCTATCAGTGCTGAACCTATTCCCCCGGGGGTTGCTTCGCCTTCATCCCCTAGAGAATCCCGGCCGGCACCAATCGCGAGCCATTCTGGGTGCCTTTTGAAGAGGCAGGGAGTTGGGAAATCGAGGAACCCATGCCGACTGCTCACAGTATGGTGTATGCCCGCCTCCCCGCTCGCCTGTTGCAATTATAAAGTCAAGTCAATTATTTTATAGCCGACTTTCGCACGTGCGTATGGGGGGTCCAAAGGGGCGCGATCTCGAGTAGAGTAAACTCAAGACCGATTCTCCCAAGGTGCCTTGCGAATTGCAATTTCCACTTGGTTTCTCAGCAGCGGGACACACGGACACACCGCTCAACTCCTTGGTGGGCCGTGAGAATCGTGTCCAGAAGCGGAGATTTGCGTGCTTTGGCAGCGGGTGACGACATTGGCATTGGATCTTTTGTTATGAGTTCCACTCATCCATATTTCAAGAGTGTCACACGCATGGGTTACGAACGCTGATAAAGTGGAATATCGCCAAAAAAAAAATATATTTACGCAACTTATGTCTATGATTTTATTAAATTAATGTTTACTCTCTTATGTTCCTAAAATGTTAAGCACTTTAATAAATTCAAACATATAAGTTCTTCCCTTAGAACAAGATTATGTGTCGTAGGTTATGATACGTTACGTTTTTTTCTAACCTTGTATTTATCTTTCTAAAAACAATCCCGCTCTGGAAAAACACACTCCGTTTTTTGTTTAAAATAGTCAATTCGAAATGTAATATTCAGGGATTGAAAATACTGTTATTAAACCAAGGATATGTATTTGTTAATATTAAACTTCCTTTTAATTATTTTTCTAAGTTTCTTACTTTTTTTTAAATTTATCATTAATCGATGACGCCTATTGTTCTGTACTGAATAAGTTAAGTTAACTTCTACATTAATGTAGCATCTTGTTCATGTATTAAGTCGTTGATTTGCTAGCTAACTGTTAAATAACTGTGAATTCCGTTAAAAATAGTACAAGTCAGAAAGTTGCACCAGCTGATTAAAAAGTGTGCCAAATTCCAGTTTTGGAGGAATATAATAATACAATTCGCAATAATTGATTAAAGTTACTCTAGAGTCATTCTTCACCATTTGTCATTTTTAACTGTAAGAAGTGTTGATTAAAAACTTTTTTTTCCTGTGTAGTTACTGCACCTAAAAGGTACTGCAGGCCGTTGTACGGCGCCACTTTGGGATTTGTAAAATATCCTGCCAAATCGGAGTAATCTTTTCCAGCACTGCTCGTAACTAGCATTAGCTCCATCTATGATTTTTTTCAGGAAACTGCAATGCGCTCCTACCGGCCACGGTGGCGCTGATGTTGCACTCGCGACAAAAGTAACGATAATTTGAAATTAAAAATTGATGACTCAAGGAATTAATCAAATTTTTAAGTTTGAGCCATTCATTACTTTCATGTTGGGAAAAGATAAAATGTGTAATATTCTCAATAAAATTTTCATATACTTTTAGTCTAGGATTTTTATTCAAAGTCTTAAACAGATCCTTATTTTAAATTTTGTTTAATATAAATCAAAAAGGGTTAGAGATTTGCCGTCGAACAACTTTTAAAGGGTTCGTTATTTGATAAGAAGCCACTCGGAACAATGAACTAATGAATCCGGGTTAACTGCATTATATTTTGTACTTGTAACATGTTATACACCATGGTTTTAAATTTGGTACTCGTTGTTGGGTGCTAAATTTTGTTTTGTATTTTGTCTATATTTACAAATATAATTACCTTAAGCAGACTTTAAAAATAATTATAAACCCCAACCCCAATCCAAAAATCTTTTCAAATAATACTACTCTTTGTCTATCCTTCTTTTAGTTCCCGTTGTAACATACTCTCCTTGAGCACTTCCTTTCCCGGACACTGATCAATATGGAAATTTGCTACGCATATGGTGAGGAAATCGATCGAGTTGAGGGTCCAGTTCCGTTTTGCGGATACATTTTTCGTTCGCCACGCTTTCCCCGCTCTTCTCCTCCCTCGCAAAGGCCCATTCATATTTTCATTCATCAGGGACTTCGATTGCGACTGCGAGGCCCTTACTCCTTTGTTTACTATCGTCGAAGATGCGTAGTAAAAGTAGCGGCGAGCAGCGCCAGTTAACCCAGTGTCTGCGATCCGAAAAGAAGGTGCAAATCGGAGGAGCGGACGAAGAAGGTTCGGGCGAAGGAAAAACCGAAGAAACATCTGTCGCCACGAAAAAATCCGGTTGCAAGCTGCAACACCGGCTCAAAATGAGCTACAACACAGAGAACATATGATTGAGCTGCCCGAATAAAAATGGGAAAAACAAAAAACCGAAACGCACCTTTTGTATTTTGGAGCAGCTGCCGTTGATGTCGGTGTTTTGGAGGAGTCTCTCGGTTTCGAGGATCGGTGGACCGGGGAGTTGCAGGGGCAGCAGACACTCGGCAGCCTGTTGATGAGCCCACAATGCACACATGCTGCATGCAATACGCTATATGCTATGTGTTATAGGCTCTGCGTTGAGCCGGTGGGTCTTCCATAATGATAAGTACCAGCGGAGGAAGCTGTCCACATTAAATTCGGTGTTTGTCGCTCAACGGCAGCTGCCACCGATTCCTTCGGGGGACTTAAACCCAACCGAAGATCTGGAGAAGAGGTAACTTGAGTGGCAAAAGTTCAGATAGGTCAAGTCGTCGTTAGGTTGTCACAATATTTGAGGATTCATTCGTTTGGGTATTGAGATTTCATTAGTGGAAATTAATGATAATGTATTTAATTTTTTTTAGTAAATACTTTCGCTTTGTTTTAAACTTCCAATATCATTATATTTCCATTTCAACCAGTTAGTTTAAATTGATATATGGAAAGGATCACGTTTTAAATAGTTTTTTATTATTTTAAATACAATTTAATACTTAGTATCATATATTTTTATAAAACAATTTAACAAATAACCAAAACATAGTTTTAGAAATTCCAATTAATAGTCATGTATCCTTATAGTTTATTTCCCGCTTAATATGTCAAAATTCTGTTGTAATACCTTTAATGGCTTTGCCAGTCACTCTCGATTTCCTGTATATCCTGTTGAAATTCGCACTAGTCATCCTGCCACTCAACATCCCTCTTGGCGCCCTTAAATATGAACATATGTTGACAAGGCTGCCTGCTTGTGTGGCTGTGCCACCCTTATTCGCGCCTTTTTTCTCAGTGCATTCGAACTGGTATTCCAGTTAGTCTTAGATAAAGTTGAATAAAACCAAGCGATAACTATCTATGTACATAGAAACAACAAAGTATATGTTTTTAAATCCCTTTATATCTAAATGTTGTTTACTTTGTTGTTTTTAGAGGTAAATTCACTCTACTACTAAAATAAGAAATTACAAAAAAAATATCAAATATAACTTTACATTTATTTAACTTATTTTCTACAAAACTATGTAGGATAAAAACAAGTTTTTGTCTACAAAAAAATAATTATTCTTCAACAAAACAAGATGATTTTGAAATACACAGGGCAATATAAACGTTGTAAATTTGATTAACTGCATATATGATATCTTTCTACATAATTTACCGACATTCTTAATTTTAAATATTTATCTAAGGTATACATTTTCCTTATATATATTTCTATACTATTCAAAATGTTTGCGTCTCTTGCCTTGGGATTCATTCTTTTTTGGTCCGGCAACCCTTCAAATATTCCAGTTTTTTTCCACCAGTCCGGCAGGCCACACATCAGTTTTTGAAGTCGTGCAAAGAGCAAGAGGACAAGCCAGGCTCATTCGAAATTTGTGCGTGCAACGCGAAGGACGTGCCGCTCCGTAGTTCGCTGTCCCGCTCTCCATTACTCTGTCGCTCTCGCTCGCTCGCTCACGCCGTCTGCCGTTTCGCATTTGTTGTTTGCCACTTTTTCGCGCCACCCCAAAAAAAATAGAAAGATACGAGTGTAAAAACCGAAAATCAGTATCAGAAAGTTAGTGCCGACCGTTGGTGACGTCAGAGGCTGGGAAAAATCGGCAGGATGTCTGCCAATAATCAGCAGCAGCAGGCGGATCCCTCGGCCGCCGTGGTGGCCCCCGCAGCCTCCTCGGAATACCTGAAACGCACCTGCCTCATCTGCGGCTGCCACACCAACCAGACGATCAATATCTACGAGCCCCGCTCCGGACCCAATATCGTCCAGCTAATCCAGGCGAAATTCAAATTTCAGGTATGGATTTTTCATCAAGGACCATCTTACAATTGGTGGGCGATGGATGGGCGGTGGGCGGAGGGCGGAGGGGGTGTGGAATAAAAATAAAAATCGATATTGGGGCAACTCGGCGGATGAGTCATGCACAACGGCACAAAAACGTCCTTCGTACAAAGTTTTACGGTGCGCGTGTATCCGTGTGTGTTTTTGGGTTAAAAGGGGATGAACTTCGTTGGGCGGAAAAAAAGAAGGGTTCTAAGGGGGAGTGGCGGGTGATTTTAGGCAGGTAAATGAAACGCTCCCACAGCATCCCACTTAGAGAAAATGCTGTGTGATTGATTTAAGGCCCAGGTATTATTTTGTTAGGATTATTTTCAAGAAAAATACATTGTTTTGAAAAGTAATATAATATATTTATCTTACATTCAAATAAAATTAGGTTTTGTGCCACCAATTCATATTTGTATTTACATATGTAATATTTATTAAATAATGTTAAAACCTTATACTTGTTTTCAAATTTTTAATTACGTTTTATCTTAATTTTGTTTAAAATAAAAAGTACCAATACTCTTTTTATACCTCTATTAAATATATACTTCAAGTCAAAACCAACTACAACATATTTATTACAGTATATTTGGGCAATACAATGAAGACAAACACTTAATAATCTCATTAAATAGTAAAATAAATCTATTTTGCATTTCCTTCATGATTATTAATAGGATGCTAAAACATAAATGATTTCTTATGCAATGAAAGGACTTCATGTTTTTTATATTCGTTTCCTTTGCCCTGTGAACTGCATATCCTGTCCCAAAGCAGCTGATGCATTTCCCTGACTAAATTCGGTAATTGGACACTTTGCATATGCGCCGCCACTTAGTTCGATTCCTTTCCCATAATTTTCAACAGCTTGTTCTAATATCCATATAGTGCGGTGTGTGGGAAATGCGACAGCGGAAGATGGCCAGGGAAATCGATCCTGGCTGGAGATCCTGCGTTTGTTTTCTGTGGAAGTGAGTTTCGGGTCTCGGATTACAGACACTCCGCTCCGCTGGACTACCTGTACCTCAAACCTGCTCGAAGGGCAGATGTGCGGTGGATTTGCCGAGGAGTCGAGATTGCTCCAATTTCTGCGGGCAGTGAACGAACCTTCCACACACTCTTCACCCTCTCCTTTTTCTCTCACTTTTTTCCATATCCCAAACGACAGCTGTATTTGCCGCTTGGCACTCAAAATCCAACCCATCAGGGTTCTCTGCTTTTCTCCTGCTGCTTTATCAGCTCTTCATACCTTCTTCTGGTTTTGTGTGATTTTTTTTTCGCATATCAACTATTGAATATCTGGATCTGAGTTCACAGTTTATTGTACTTAAGGTAAAGGGATTTTCGTTAGAGCGAACTATCGTGGTTGAACCCTCAAACAATGCCAAAAACCTTAAGAAAGAAATTCCGGTTTCTTAACTTGCGCAATTCCAAACAAAAGATCTACCCTTAGAAAATTGGAAATCTTTAAATTTCCCAGCTGAAGTCCTTGAAGTGCCGAAAAACAAAACCCAAAAACTAGACATGACTCTAATTTGAAGGTCTTCTTATAGTTTGTTGTTTGGTAGGGATAGTTCGTTGTAAGGTTTCTTTGCTATTAGATTAGAAAACCGAAATGGGTCAGGCAGATACTGATGATACTCTAAGGATAGTTCTTAAAATGAAGCCTTATGAAAACCATGTTAAGTAGTTTATAAAAATACTACCAGATACTAGTTCCATTTCAATAATATTATTTCCTGAGAGCAGATATTCTTGTTCACAATTCTGTTATCCAAGGACTCATAATTACTAAAGTTTAATTGCTGGAAAAGTAATCAATTTAATTACGAAATGCTTTAGCAGCACGCTATTCAATTTCATAACAATAAAGTCCCTCGACTTACCCCACCACAACTCACCCACGAAGTTCACCCTCAATTTAGACTCCCCTAGGATCGTTAGAATTTACTTTGAACCGTTATTGCGAAACCCTATATGGTGCATATATACCACCTGCCGCGATCGTAGCCTGGCAACCGATCACCCCTACAGAATTACACCCTCGCAAGTTCTGAATAAAATAAAGCCCTCAATGACAGTGCCATAAACTCCAGTTGCAATCAATTTATCACGCTGCCTCCCTACCTCCCTCTTTTATACACAGAGAAAATATATTAGGTTTTACTATAAAATAATTTAAGATTTAATTGCCTAACACATTAAATTTTAAAGTTTAATAAGGTCGTTTACAGTAAAATGCAAATATATATTTCAAAAATATTACAAAGTCTTTTGAACTGCACTTTCTAATATTTATACAAAAATTATATTAAACAGACCTTTGGAAAACATCCACATTTTTCTCAGTGTATCTCTGATCAGTATGCGTGTGTGTGGTTTTCTGTCTGCTTTGCACCTGGCCTGCAATTTGCATTATTGTACCGTTTACACATGGCCCTTGGAGCACACCTTTTCAGCGCCGAGGCAAAAGGTAAACAGGCAGCCACAATCGCTTCTGATCCTGGCTACCCTTCCCCTCCCCCTTCCCGATCCTTATAGTCACCCCCCTCCCCTGATCACCTTTATCTAATTCCCGGAGCAGCTGTCGCGCATGCGCGTGCCTAATATCCGTCATAGTTGGGTCTTAACCCAGTTCTCCTCTTCGCTTCGGTTCCACTCCGCTTGAACAGGGCGCGTGGCCTTTGGCCAAAACGAGTTTACCGAATGTCCCTTTGGCTTTTGACTGGTTTTCGTTCCTTTTGGGCCAGCTGCTTCTGCTCTTGGGCGCTTAGTTTTCGTTGGCAGGTGCACGAAATTATTGATACCCCAGGAATGTTGAGGTCTGCTCGGGTAATTAATATGCCTGGACCGTCTGGCAGTTGCTTTTCGGATTGTTATATTTTTTTTGCACCTTTGGTTCGATGCTCATTAGTGGTCGGATCCCGTGAGCGATCACTAAGTGCATAGGCGTATCGTAATTTTCGAGAGGTTTATTCTGTGGTCATGCCTGGCTTGAGATTGCAGGACATGCAATCGAATTGGGGTCACATGTCTTCCTAAGGCAGTTACTGTGTCCTAATGATGTTAACGGTGTTGGTCCTATAAGCAAAAACTAATTGGTCTTGGTAATTCAGCTGGTAATCGATTTTGTGTCTCTAATGACAATTTCTGGATTACTAAGCTAAGGTTCTACCCTTAAACTAATAAACAGTTTGAATAGGTTTCTCAAGATTATTGTCTTGATACGCGAAATATGTTACAATGTTTGCTTTAGTATTGTAACCCACATAAAGTACCTTCATGTTATCTTCTTAGACTTCAAAGTCTGTTAAAAATCGAAATCTATAATTAGAAAAAATATATAAATAAATAAAAATCATACACTACATCAACAGTTAGTATTCCATTTATCTGCCTATAAAGTTTTACATTAGCTTCAAGGAAAATATCTAAGATAAGAAAAAGTTAATAAAATAAATACCTATTTTTAGACCTTCCATACTCATCTATATATTTCTCTCTCAACTTACAGCCCTTGAACGAGGACAAATTCCTCTGCTTCAGCTGCAACAACTGGCTGATCAACTGGCATTCCCTGCAGACGGTCAACAGCAATGAGGCCGAAAGCCAGAGCCAAAGTCCCTCGCACATGGGCAACAGTGTGCTGCAGCAGGAGAGGACCAAGCTGCGTCCGGTGGCGATGGTTCGCCCCCAGGTGCGCGTCCAGCCCCAATCGCAGCCACAGCCCCAGCCCCAAGTGCCAGTCAATCCCGCTCCCGCACCCATAATCTACGCGAAGCGGAGGAGCAGCAGCAGACGCAGTGCCTCCGTCAGCCGGATGAGCCGAGTCCTGCGACAATGCTGCCTGGAGAGTCTGCGGCGGAGTCCCAAGAAGCGGAGTCCGCAGTCGGTGTTCGTGTACCTCAGGCAGGGTCAGCGGCGGAGCAATGTGATCTGCAAGGTGGAGTGTGTGGCGCCGCGAAGGAAGCCAGCGGTGGAGCGGCTGGTCAAGGAGGTGGCTCCCACACCCACACCCCCAGTCGCAGCAATGTCGAGTTCCCCACCCACTTACCAAAGATTCCCGCAGCCCAGTGTGGATGGCAAAGTAGTGGCCATGTTCCGGCGACTGGGGACCACACTGAGCAGGGAAGAACCGCCCGCATCTTCAGCAGAATCAACCACCTCCACCTCGAATGTGTCGACGCGACCCCCGCAGATCATGAGTCCCCTCAAACAGAAACCGCGCTGGACGCGGGACCTCGATGAAGATGAGATACTGCTGGAATTCGATAGTGCCATATCCGAAGTCCTGCCAACCACCAATGTGCGACGCTGCCTCAGCTATCAGGTTACCCACGAGGATGACAAAGAGAACGGACGAGCTGAGGAAATGGAGCTGGATGGGGAGGAGGACGAGGAGGAGGAGGAGGACCAGGCGGAACAGGAAGCGGAAGCGCCACTGGAACCGCAGAGCCACCGCAAGGAGGACACCAGCCACCAAGATTCCCACCAAGCTTCGCTCCAACTCGCCGGCCTGCGATTACCACTGGGCCTTAGTATTAGCCTGGTCTAAAAGAAAACAGAGGGTCCAAGTAACGCCCACAAAACCACAAGAATAGTCAAATTGCATGCACAAAATCAAGCAAATTATGAGCATTAGCGAATGTCTAATTTAATAGTACCTCGAATACATTTTAATTGTTAGTCAAATACCTTAATTAATTAGCGGACAAAAAACACACACAAACAAAAGACCTAAGAATGTTAAGTTAACAGGATGTGGAAAGCTATATTTAAAATATACATATTAGTCATAGGCAACTCCCCGTTTATCCCAAAACAAAACAAAAGACACAAAAACTCCCCTCGAGCCAAGCCAATGTAGATGAATTTGTTTGTTTGCTCCAAAAAGACAAAAGTATTACAAAATAACAAGCGAATAAAAATAGCACAAAAGCAATCAAAATATACACAAAATGGTTTTTTATTTCATTATTTTCAGGTTTAAGGATGGGATGCTGCTAACAAGGCTTTTTTTGTAATTAAGATTAGGCCTTACAATTTTAGAAGACCTGCTTCTTAAATTCAGTTTTAAATTTTTGCGCCAATTATTTGGCGCTGCCAACTTACTTAAAAGCTGATGCCGAAAAGTATGCTTTTATATTTTAGCGCCAATTGGTAATGCGCTGCCAACCTGTTATAATTCCGCCGCCGATAAGTATGCTATCTTTTCGAAAATAACTGTTATAAACGGTTTTGCAATTTGAACCACTTTCTTCCCCTATACAATTGCAATATAAACAAATATATTACTATAAAATTATTTAATTTTCCTTTTTCTTTTTTTTTCATATCAGGAAAGAAGAAGTTTCGAAGTTTCGTGCAATCTTAAGAAGATGTAATATATGGACAGCTCCTTTAAATATAGTATTTTTTAATCTTGTTGACCTAGGTCATACTTAGGCAGAAAAATTAAATAAATACAATTTGATACAATTTTGATACATTTAACACGTAAATTCGTGTTAAGACCTCATGAGTTTTTTGATCCAGTTCCGATTCTTCATAAATGGTATAAAAAAGACCATAAAGACCACACATTATTTGTGGGGTATTCCAGAATCAACGACCCGATTTCTTTAGAATTATCGTTTGCTTTCGCCTCGCGTCCGAACGGCAGAAGTGTAATTGTTGATTTCTGATGTTTTAGTGAATTTATTTGATTTGGCCAATTGCGTAGTGAGAACGAACGTGTTGAGGTCAGCATCGTCGTTGTTGTTTATGCAACTGAGACAGCGGTGCGTACACTTATTTTGGCTTACAATATGGCATTTCATCAATACGAACTGATGACTGAGTGGCTGGCAGTTGTGGTTTCGCCGACATGACTGGCAATGTTAATAATGTGGTGCGGAAATTTCTACGCGCACTTCAAGTACGCTGTATTGAGACGGCGACTAAGGTTACTTTTATTTATAAATAAATATCAGTGTGCCTTCTGAACTTGAAGATGACTTGGCGCAACGTCGACGGAGAGTGTGCAGTTTCCGGAAATCGAGTATACGCCCGGTGGCCGTGCGAAGAGCTTACATCTCGCGACTCGCGATTCTCGATTCTGTCGCCTACAAATGACGGTCAAGGTTGAGGCAGCTTCAAGTGGCTTGCCACACGGCACGTTCTACGTTCTGCCCGTTGGCGATTTCATCATTGAGACATTGGTTTGAGACATTTTTAGCCGGCTCAAGGATGTGCGATCTTGCCAAAAAAAAGTGTAGACTTGACTAAGGTCAGTGGTGCACAGAGAAAAACAACAGGTTTTTTAAAAAACTTCTGAATTTGTATATCAACTGTTGACTGCCAAAATGGATGTAAGTGAAATTTAGTCTTAAATTTTATTTAAATTATAACCAAAAATGTTTCAAATCAGAAATGACTCTTTTTTTTGTTTCCACAGAAAATTAAAATAAGTTGTTGACAACAAAAATCTACAATATTACAATACAAAACATAATAAAATACACCAAATTAATGAATAACACCAATGCTATTTGTTTGTGTGCACAATTGTTGCATTTTGAGGCCTGAAATGCCTCAATACTCATCGCATTATGTCATCGGTCAAAACCCAACTCCCCACAATTTATACCTGATTCGATTGCGATAATTCACAGGGTTTATATTTATTTCAGTCCGCTGGGGTTAAACTCTCACTTAATGAGTGCAAGTTGTTCTGGTTTTTTGTTTGGTTCCTGTTTGAGCACGTTTAATTAGCATAAATTTAAAAGGGAATTCGGCAGTAAAGCCTCAGCGCCAGGAAGTTTAATCAAGCGGGGCACATGAACCCGAGCTATGTGATTACAATGCCAGTATGTGGGGTAAATCCCCCCTCTGCAATAAAAAAAGCTTATGCAATGCACGCATAAAATGCTTCCCGTTGGCTAGATCTTATATTGCTGCACTTTTCGAATTTTGCCCACGCGGTGAAAAATTGTGCGACAATTAGTTCAGTGCGCTGGCCAAGCGCCCCGAAAAAACTGGTTTTGAATACAAAAAAAAAAAAAAAAAAATATATAGAGTCAGGCCGCTGTGGGCGGCGCGGCGGGATGCGTGTGTGCGAAAAATCATTCACTTGTGTACCGAGCGTGTATACCCATTGAAATTGTTTAATAAATCGAATCCAAAAGAAACAAAAATCAAGAAAAATGAACTGAAAAGTGAACAACAAATACCTTGGAACCGCAAAAAAATCGCACGCACGGCAACGATTAAGGCATGAGTACTCGAAATTCAGCCCCAGAGGCTGGAGACAAGGCAATAACAATGCTAACGGCCGCTTTATGAACAATTATGAACCGCGGGCGAGTTCGCCAAAAAATCCAACAAAAATCGAAAAAAAAAAAAATAATATCCAAAATCCAAAAAAATTTGAGTTGGGGGCGCATGCGTCACGCTCATGTCACTTTGCGAAGACAAAAATTACGAATATTATTCAATAAAATTCAAATTGTTGCTTTCACAGGCAAGGCAGACTGGTTGGGATTTGCTGTTACCATTTGTATACGTATATATATCTATATATTTTGCTAATTTTTTGTCGGCTATTTCGTTGGCCTAGTTACCTTCGGTTCTCGAGTGGCGCGAATTTCGCTTTCAATTTCGGCCAGCCATATTGCGCAAGATTCGTTAAATGATTTGGCAAAAAGACAGCAAATTGTTAGCTAAGCTCCATTTCAAGTTCACCATTGTCGGTTAATTGTAATAATACCCGCAGACCAATTGCAGCTGCAAATCCCCCAAATGCGTTCGCCCCTTTTTTTTTTGTGTAATAAGTTTATTTATGGTTAACACGCATAATATAATTTATTGCATCCACAGATATATGCTTCTGTGAGATATCGAAATTAAAAGCTAAAAATGAAAAATATTTTTATTCTCTCCTGTAATAATCCGTTTTGCTGTTTCCTCCTTCTTTTTTTGCGGGAGGACAACCAAGTTTCCTACATCTAAATATGTAAATATTAAACTAACTATATTTAAAACTGAATAAAAGTGTTGAAATAAAAAACAAATAAAAGAAAGGTAGTGAAAATTATAAGGAGGTCAGGTGGAAAATGTGGAAATCGGTATCTGACTGCCCTGCGAATGTTAAACCTAATGACCTGAGACTCTAATTAATTTTTCTTGGTTCCAATTACATCCGTATTATTCGCATCTGGTTAACTATGGCCACGATTCTATAACTGATTTTTATGGCACCCGTTAGATTTATGGGTGTGCTTATCCTAAATCTAGCCTAATTGCACGCTAATTAAAAATGTTAATAGGCAATAAAAACAATACTTAATCTGCAGTAAGATTTTGTGAACTCATAAGGATATAGGCAGCTATATAGGGTAGTTTGCTAGGCAATTAAAGAAGTCATGTGAGACTTTGTGATGATAGTTGGGCCCGCATTATACCTCTACTATTTTTCAAATTTAACAATGATTAATATAGCCTACAATCTATTAACTGGTTAATGGTCAATCAAATATATTGATTACCTGAATTAGTATAATATTAAGTGTCTACCAAACCAATTATTTTCCGTTTTCTTTACCTTAAACTATTGGCAGTGATTGTTGTAGTAGTTATGTTGCATATAAGAATGGTTTAAAAAAAATGAATAAAATAAGGGCTAGCAAAATTCCACATTAACCAACGAAACCCCTCATAAATTTCGGTGATAAAAATTCGATAACTATATAGGTTTCTGTTCCTAACCTAGGTTGGGCTAAGGGTTTTGGGGGTGAATGGTGTATGTCTGTGTGGGACGTTTAACAAGTTGGACAGCATCACAGTGTACAGCCATTAATTTCACATACGTTTCTATAACAGTTTATCTTCCCACTAAAATTAATCAACAATTAATTCCCCCACTCTACGATAGTTTGACCTCCTAGTTCACGGGTGAAATGGCCTGTCCGAACTTCCTGGCCCTCTGGCCGAAACCCTTGCTACCATCTGGACCAATTGGAGTGCGCACCAGACTCTCGGCAGCCCGTTGGGCAAAGGATCCGGATCGCGATCGTGGTGATCCGTCGAGGAAACTTCCGGTTCGGGATCTTGGCTGGCCATCATAGCCATCTCCTCCTCCACCGTGCTTGTAGTTGCTCAGGAAACTGCCGGTGCGAGATCTGGGGGATCCTTCAAAGCCTTCCGATCCAAAGGAGCAACGACGATCGTAACCCGAATCCGTGGATATACGCCTGCCTCCAATGTACTGAGCATTGTCGTAGGCCGCCAGTTTGCTGCTCAGCTGCTGGAAGTTGTTGGAGTAACGTCGTGGCCACACCTGGTAACCACCTCCTCCTCCGCCCACCAGTTGATCGGTTTGGATGGACTCCCTTTCTATGTTGAAATCGTTGGAGGGACGACGATAGAAGCCGCTATTCTCGCTGGCATTCGAGAAGGTCCTCTCGAACTGCATGGATCCATTGGAGAAGCGACGCTCCTGGTTCTGATTGCCGGGACAACTGCCATTGGAGCAGACAGAGGTCTTCCTGAAACTAGTGTCCGTGGTCTGACCAAAGTCCGAGACCCTCCTCGAGCAAGGACAATTCTCGGAGCAATTGGAATCACGTCGCTGAGGAGCTCCTCCGGTTTCCGAGCAATTGCTAGCCCTTCGCGACATCGAGGGATTGACCTCGGGCGTAAAGTTCTGCTCGGAACAGTTGGACAGACGCCGTTGGAGACTACTGATAGAAGATACCGGATTACCGCCTGAATTGACAGCAGAAGACATAGGCGAAACATCGCCCAAGGCAGCCGCTGTGTTGGCCGAAATCGTCGATGTGTTGCTGTATCGCCTGGGACCATAGCCGAAAAAACCGGAGGGACCCATCTCCTGGTTCTGGTTGCCAATGCTGCCGCGTGGCTGGTAATGCTGATACGGATTGGCATGGTAATTGGGTGCCATTTGTTGGTAGTAACTCGGCTGGAAATCCGAGTTGTTTCGCTTGAGTTTGAAGCGCAGATCCGGGACAGTTTCGTGGCCCGAAAAGCTGCCTCCACGACTCCGCTCGTAATTGGTATCGTTGTAGTAGCGATAGTTCTCCACCATTCGTGCCACTGGAGCGGCGATCTGGATGACGGCTGCCTTTTTGCCGGTCTTCTTCTTGGGAGCCACCATCTCGTACACCTGGAAGGGACCACTCAGGTGACGGGCATCCCTGGCGGACGAAGATTCCAGGTACTCCACTAGGGCACACTCTTTTTGCTGCAGTTCTGGGTACTTGTTCATGAACTGGCGCACATCTACGGGTATGGCCATTCCTGGCTTGAGGATGCGTATCAGGGCAATCTCACCGCAACGGGAGAACAGATCCGATACCTTTTCAATCGTAAGTTTGTCCATGGGAAGGTCACAGGCCACGATAGTTCTGGAGGGCATGGTCTCATCGAAACTTGGCAGAGGCTCGATTCTCCGCACCTTGGTGCCCTCAGCATTCAGCTCGATCTTGCGGGACTTACGACGCACTGCATCGCCGACCACCTTCCACTCCCTGGTCAACTGGCGAACCCTCTTGAAACTGGACACCAACTTTAGGCTGACAAAACCCTCCTTGTTGCGCCGCACATGTTTCAGCAGGAAAGCATCCTTCAGGATACTCTCGTTGGAGAAGTAGAACTCCACGGCGTCGGTGATTTCAGCAGCCAGTTCCTCGCTGGGAATCAGGGAGGGATCCAGGGAATCTATCTCATTGGGTCCTTGGGACTCCAAGTCCTGCTCCTGGATATGTTGCACTTCCTGTTCCTTTTCCTGCGGCTGCTCCAACTCTTTTTCCTTCTTCATCGAAAGGAAAGAACGATGATTTCTCTTTGCGTCCAGAACAGGTGAATTAGCTGGAGCCACAGCTGGTGGCGGAGAAGCATCCAAGGTGAAGTTGGGATGCAGATAGATGTTGTCCATCTGGTGCTTGCGGAACTTCTCTAGGTTTGCCTCACTTAAAACTGCAGGGGGCGAAGTCTGCCGCTCATTTAAGTCCACCTCGTGCATAATGTGATTGTCCACAGCCAGGGGTTTCAGTTCGTCACCCTCCTCCGAAGATTCCTCGGAATCTCCGATGGATGAGCCCATTCCCACATCCACAAGCTGATGATCCGATGGCGACATGGGTGGAGCACTGGGCGAGGTATCCTCCGAGGTGCTGCCATTGCTGCTGCCCAGCTGAGAGTCCAGGGATTCCATTTGGTGGAGCAGAGCCTGGGCAGATCGCCTGGCATGCATGCGGAGCAACTTGCACGGCAGGGACGAGGACAGGGGCACCACAGCCTGGGAACTGCAGCTGGGCTGATCGTCATCCAGCTCTTCCTTGGGTGTCTCCATGGGTAGAGGTGATTCCATGGCCTTCATCACAGGCACAGCGGTGAGAATGGGTGCTAGGATGGGAGTGGGATCCACAGGACTCACGAGGAAGGTGTGACCGTCTGCTCCGGCATGAGGAGCCTTCACCTCGTACACCTGCTCCACCAGATCCTTGGGATTATTCATGCTCATTCAGACGACCTTGGCTGATGCTCTGAGATGTTTGTCGGCACTCCAGCAAAAGCAAAAAGCTGCTCAAGTAATGGTCTTTCCTTCTTTCTTTCTTTTTTTGCTTTTCTCTGTCGGCACGCTCTTTTCCTTAATTTCTCCGCTCTCTTTCACTTTCACTTTCAAGTTCAGTATGGGGGAAAAGCTCTCTGGCGGAGCTGCACTTTACATCGGATGGGATGGATTAGCCAAGATCTGCATCTGGGTAACCTGAAACTGAAACGTTCATTGAACGTCAGCTGTTGATGTTGCTGTTGTAGTTGCTGCAGTTGCTGGTGTGTTTTATATCGCCGTTTGCGTAATTTTGTCTGCAACGTGCTTGGAATTTGTTTTGGGCGTTCGTCGTTGGGTTTTTATTTTATTTCTTTTTCTAGGCCGCGCTTGACACCGTTTTGCCAAAGTTAATAAATAAATGTTCAATTAACAATTTCGACTGCGTTTTTTGGGTAATTTTGGAGTTCAAGTTGTTACTGTGTTTTTGTGGTTGTTGTTGTTGTTGCCCGTTTCCTAACTATTTCCGTAAGGCTTTTCGGTGGTTTTTTGGTTTTTCGGTTGAACTTGTGTAAACTTGCTGTTTCGCACGCGACTAAATTGAGTTCATGCAACGCTGCAACGCGGAGATCGACTGAAATTGCAAATTGATTTGAGGTCGGTTAAATACCCTCTGCTTTCGTTTCAATTTTTTCTGCCTCTTTTTTCGTGTTTACAGCAGCAGGCGGCCGGCGGCAGCGACGTCGGCAGCGGCGGCGGCGGCAGCAGCGGCGTTATTGAGCGGTCCAAGTACGCACGATAACAACAAAAGCCGATAGCAACAACAATGTTTAACAGCCGACGGCGCAGAGAGAGCAGCGACGTCGGCAGCGACAACTTATTGGCAACACACACGAAACTTGTTGCGTTGGCAACAACAACAGCAACAACAACAACATGGCCAGCAATAGCAGCAAACACCGCAGACACAACAGCAACAATAACAGCAAACACAGCTGCAACAACAGCAAACACAGCAGCAACAATAGCAAACATCGCAGCAACAGCACCAGCTACAACAGCAATAAAAGCAGCAAACACAGAAGCAACACCACCAGCAACAACATTACATACAACAGCAACAATAGCATACAAACCAGCAACAACAGCAGTAATATAGCCAGAAGCAGCAGCAACACCAAGAACAACAATTGCAGCAATATCACCAGAAAACACACCAGCAACAACATCACCAATAATGTCAAAAAAAAACAAAAAAAAAACAGCTACACATTGGCGACAATCGCTTTTGCTCAATGCATTTGTCAGCTTGCTTAGTAGCTTGAATATTTTATAAATTTATCATTTATGCAGCAAAGTGTTCTCGTCGCACACACACAGTCACTTCCGATTTGCATTGATCGCCTGAAAATTGGGAAAGTGCTTTTCGTGTGGTGACCTCGTTGCACAAAACACACAATTGCAATTGCAATCGCAATCGCAATTACTGCGTCCAGTGCGAGCAGTTTATCTCTGAGGGGAAACAGGAAGGAAATTGCAGCTAGCGACAACAAATTGCAATTTGAGGGTTACACACTTGACAACCCAGAGGCGCTGATCAATCAATTGTAGGTCAGTTCCGCTTTAGATAGAATCGATCAGGCACAGAAAGAAATTTGGGTTTTTTTCGGTAAAAATATTAGTACAGAAAGCTATTAAGGTTCCTTTATAATAATATGTGGATTAGGTATTGTGAAAGTCAATTAAAAGTTGTACTAGAACAAAAAACATTTACAATTTTCAAGGCCAAAACTAATATTCTATTTATAGGATATTCATATAATTTATAAGATGTCTACAAAGAATAAAAATGGTTTAGGCAATGTTATTTAAATGCTATTTTGTGACTAACAAGAGCAGTAGTATTTTCTTATATCTTCTTATGTAATACAAGTTAGGTAAAAGAAACGGCTTCAAGGGATTAACTATTATTTAATAAACTGTGGTACTCGTTTTAAGAAATTAAAAAATCAATTATAATCGCGTGAAATGGATCCCTCCAATCTCGTTGTTTACCCGCCTCATTAGCGAAGGGAATCTTCATTGCATCGCAGTTATCGCATCGGCAATTTGCATGTCAAGTGCAAGTTCAAGTGCAATAATGAAATGAGCCGCATTGGCAGCGTCATTCTCTCGACTTTTGCTTTGTGGCTGTGCAGTGTGTTTTGCAATTATTATATCATCGCTCATACTCATATGCAAAATGTACATAATGGCAAAGAATAATAATCCTTTTAGTGGGCCTTACTTTTATGAAACACTGTGTTGCATCAGCGGCGTCCCCCTTCATGTTCTCCATTGTTTACCCAAACTGATAAAATTATACAAGAAAGAGGCCAGACAGAACCAGAACAAACGTTTGCAATCCAATTACAAGGTGCTGTCTGCTGCCCCTCAGCGTCCGGCCACACGGCGTATACTTGACATAAGGTCAACTGGCCATCAAATGCTCATTAATTTGCCAATTGACGACAAGCATTTCATTTCGCATAGTAGAGTTCCCCCTACAATTTGATTTGCCAACAAGTAAATTATGTTGCCAAAAAAATAAAAAAAATAAATAAGATAAATGAATAGCGAAAAAGAAAAAATCTTGCAACCTTGCGGTAAGAGACACACTGGCACACTAACAAAGCAAAGGCAACAATAAGAAATCAAGAGTTTTTATTGTTTATGGGCCTGGTGGTAGCACAGCCAACAAACAAACCGCAAATGGCAAATGATTTATTTAATAAAAATCAAAATTATGATTTTTATTTTCGGTTTTTTCCTTCTGTTTGTGCGGCAGGCGTGTCCCGTCAAGATCGATTAATCCAACTCATTTGATTGTGGCCCAAAGCTTGAAATAATCCAGGAAGTGGATAGATTTGAGGTAGGTCAATTCGACTAACAACACACAAAAAAAAAAAAGGGGAGGGAGGTAGCAAATTGCCTCTAAAAGCCAATTTTTAAGCCTTATGCTGCATTGTTGTTCGCTTGCTTTGTTCACGCATTTATTTGCCTTTATTTAGCGTTTATTTACTTTTTGCACTTTTTTCCGAGAGCCGTAGACGCAGTCGAAGTAGTGCGTTCAGGGCCACCGATCTATAGCTGTGGCCGATCTGCCTGCGATCGGCGCACATTAGCAATTGTTAGCTGAAGTTTGTCCTTCTGTTGACATTTTGCACGCGTTGCTGTGCTGTTGAGCCTACGCGAAAAATTCACTTCGCCCCAGAGATTTTTCGAGTTTCGAGTGGGAAGATATAGCTGTCAACACCGATCAGGCTAGATATCCGAAATGGAGTATGAAGCATTACTTATTGCATGATTGCATTTTCATATATAATATATTTTAATCACGCCGCCCCATTCAGACCCCTCAGCTCATTAGATTGCATGACAGTTGGCGAATAATTGACAATCAATAAGACAGTTTCCCTCACCTCAAGTTCAATGTTTCAGCTATTTACACACTACCTTTAATTCCTCGTATTATGCGAAGTTGATGAGTTATGATCGCATATCCTGAGTGTCCGGCTAAACGGATTTATGGCTGCAAATTGTATGGATGGCCACGAAAGTGGGTCATGAGAATCCGCGCACAAAGCAACAGGCTCCTACTTGGGATTACATAACTCAGAACCTTTTATCGGGATGAGAGTGCGGAAAGCAGGCAGAAAACAGGTTCAGGACAAGGGCAATGCAACCTTCGGCTTGTTTCGATCTACACCGAGAAAAAATCAGAGAGGGTGTTTACTGAAATCTTAATTTACAAATGTTACTTAGCTTATAAAAAAGTTTCAATTTCAAATAGCAATATGCTATCCTAACAGTTATTTAATTTGCAACTTTATTTCCAAAGCTTGGTTTATAGTTCTGGAATGATAGATGGATCGAAACACTTATTTATAGATTGATTCGATTGAAATAGAATTTACAAATATCTTGCATTGCTCAAGAAGACCTATAGATACAATTTCCCAACAGCGATTATAAAATAGCTTAGCCATTGTATACGTGATTTTCTTTTATAATGACCATTCTTAAAATGGAAAGTAAACTTCCGCTAAAATTTCTTTTCTGTGTAAGTTGCAATCACCACCTGCATCTGATGGTGGCATCCACTTGAGAGCGGTGCCCGAAACCAGTTCCATGTCAAGTGCCTGCAACGAAACGAGCCCAAGTTTCGGCACTTCATTAAGGAAGCGACCTTGGCAGAGGCTGATGCCAGCACAATTTATCGCTGATGGAGGCAGGAAGACATTGCCGCCGCCGGCGACTGGTCCGCGATTCTGGGCAGGAGATGGACATGGACATCGATATGGAAAAGGAGTTGGAGATGGGGATGCAACAGGTTGGAGACCGAACGGCTGACCTCCAGGTATGGCGTTACATATAGCATATTTTTTATTCGACTGCCGGGCCATTGTGCAGCACGCTTTTAATTAAGCCGCCGCAGTTCGAAATGTAAATCGCAAAGTGCATATATGCCTCCTTTCCCGAGCGACAGAATTGGGTTACAAATGTCTCAAAGTGGAGAACAAGCTGTGCACAGGAAAAAATCATTAATCTTGTTAGGCATATCAGTAATAGATTGTTTTATTTTTTGTAGTGCATCAAAAAAATGTTCATTACCTAAAATAATATTCAAAACATAGTTCATATCAGGTAAAAATTATAGCAATTCAATAAACAAAATATATATAAAAGAATACTTGCATAAAAAATATAGGTCAATATATAACTTTTTATTTGCTACCAAGACTTTTTTACCATTCGAGGTAATTTTCTTTCCATTAAATTATAAAATTTAAAATAAAAATAATTTCAAGGTTTTTGGGAATCAAAAATATTATTTCTTTATATCATACTTATTAACATTTCACCTGTTGATATGGGTACTTTTTGTTGTGTGTGGGGCTGGGCAGCGCACTTTTCCGAAAAAAATCGGCAATCCACAATCCGCCCGAGTTGTGCAATTAAAATCGCAAGCGTTTTTCGAGCTGTGGGTCTCCGATTGGTTTTTTGTAATTTTTGTATTTATTTTTTTTGTAGTTTTTGGTGCGTGCAACGCATTGGGGCAACGCCTGTCTCCGTGTGGGTTGGTCTCTGGGTCTTTGGTATGTGCAAAATGTTATGGCTATAATGAAAAGACCGACATAACGTTTATGGCCTGCGAGTTTGTTTTTACGAAATTGGTCGAAAGGGAGCTGTGTGATCTATGAAATGGCAGAATTATTCTAGCAATTTTCAGCATGCAAGTTACCGTTGGGGAGTATGCCATAAATTAATCCATTAATAGCTCAATTAATTCCCCGACTACTATTAAAATTCCCACAGCATTCAGAAAAACAAACATCGCTAAACGGAAGTGTATCTGGAAGTGTACGGCAATGAGAAGTTAAGTAGAAACGCCGATCGCTGATAGCTTAATGCTGTTTATGAATTGCTCAAAAATACTTATAATTGGAAGTTTAGCTGCCGTATCTTTCGGCTATCATAACCGAATCGAACTTTGGGTCCGGTTGCGTGACTCAGGCGCAAAATGCAATTTCCAGCGATTAATCTGCATGTGCAGCCATAGAATACAAAATATATCTCAATACAGATAGGGGAATATGTGTGCAGCGGCCTTCAAAAATGGCAAACAACGCGACATTAAATTATGCGCCTAGGCCTATTATTTTATGCAATTGATAAATTGACAACGAGGTCCGCTCACTTTTGTGTTTTTCGTATTTTTCGCAGTGAAAATCCGCTCACATGCGTGCCAAGTTTCTTGCCCCGCCTACCACATATACCATATAGCATATACATATCACATATAAAATCGCATAATGCCTGGCAACTTTCATATTGAGTGAACTTTTCGCTGTTTGTCATTCGTTTTCAATGTCAAGGTTGTCGTTGTTTTAATGCATTTATTGACTTTCAATTAGCTGCAGTCGCATCCTTGTCTAAATTAACCGCCTCTGCTGAATTTGCTTAGGCAAATTAGCTGATAGTTATGCTGCTTTCGGTGAAATTCACTAGACAAAAGAGAAATACAGAAATTCGAAGGCAACGCACTTGCCGATAATAAATTCTATCTATACTATAAATATCATTGCATTTGACAAATTGCCTGCGATATTCAAATTTGTCTCTCGAAAGAATGGGCCAGAGTTTCTGCCAAGGCTGCACCAGATAGGCATAAATCATTTAACCCCAACTGACTGGACATATCGAACATGAAAATAGGCGTTTTCCTTTTATTTTATCGGCCATTTGAGATCGCGGGCATTTGTTAGTCATTTTTGGCACATGCGGCGTATGAGTGATGTGGGATTTAGGTCTCACCTTAGCTACACTTCCTCGGGGAATTGCATCTCCAGTGAATCACTGGCCATAGATCGAGAATGCCAAGTTGCCTCGATTTGGTCACGCCAAACAGCATCATCATCAGCATCAGACGAATGGCCTCAAATGTCGCGCTTTTTGGCGTGATTTCGAGTCGCTAACCTTGGCCTTAGAACAGGCTACAATCGCTTGTTAGCCGCTGATATAGATATATGCATGCAACAATCGTCTAACGGCAGTTAGGCATTATTCTCGACAGCTGCACAGCTGTTAACAGACGACCCAGCCCAACCCATTCATCGCTGACATTGCTAAACTAAAAATAAACTGCTAACTAAAAACAATATGCAGTAATACGACAACCGTTAGGCCCGTCCCCAGTCTGGGGCGTCTGTGAGATTAATTGCATATTGATTACAGACAATTACAATGAGTGGAGCGAGAGAAACGGAAATAAAATCGAGAGATACGACTGAAAACGCGTGAAAATCGCCTGTAAATCGCGTCAAAACCGCTCTGAAAACGCCAGCAGTAAGGCGGAAGCTTAGAAACACATGCACATACTTTACAAGATACATTTAAAGATAAACTTAAATTAACTTTTGCGGGTAAGTTTTCAGAAACAAATTTAAAGTGTTTTTGCATTTTTATTTTCAGGACCAGGATTCGTAGTTAGGTGAGTTCAATAAATACTTACAGGCTAGGCAAACATGTGTAACACAATCTTTAGTTAGCAACTAATACAACTTATCGAACAGGAAACGGAGGCGTAGGCGGGGGCGTGGCAGCGGCAGTGGCAGTAGCCCGCCTGCTAGGCACACGAGCAGCAGCCGCCGCCATAGGAATAAATACTACAACTTTAGCTGCCGCTTCTCCATCTTCCGCTCGCGCTGCAGCAGGAACTCGCGCCTCAGCTCGCTTGACCGCATCTCCAGGATGCATGTCAGCTTGCTTTGGATCTGGTCCGCCGTGTGGGTGTCCGTGTCGAAGTCGTAGTGCTTGTAGCGAATATTGCTGCTCGAGAAGAAACCGGACGAGTGTCCCGGACTGTTGGGCGAGTGGGCATTCCCCGCGCTGGCACTTCCCATATTCAGAGTGGTCACGCTGGCATTGATCGGCGCCGAAGCGCAGCCGGTGGTGAAGGAAGGCGACGAGGAGTTGGACTTTAGCCAGATGCGCAGCAGAGCCTTCAGATGCCGTCGCTCCACAATCTCGCAGTGAGCCACCAAATCGATGGGAGTCGATACGGGTTTTTTCTGCGGCCAGAACTTGGCGTTCTTGTACTGATCGATCTCTATTCTCTCGCCGGAGATGCCAAGGGTCACATCGGATTTGAAGAACCTTTTGTCTATGATGTTTAGGCGGAAAGTGCGGTGCATAGGGGCTTCCAGCATGTCATTGTGGTTCAGCAGGCGTTTCTCGTACTCCTTTACATAGTCACTAGGACTATCTTCTCCTTTTCCTGGATTACTCTTCCCTCCATTTAGGTTGATATTCTGCAGAGCCTTGACAGCTGCCTCGGCCAGCGCCGCTTTGTCCTCCTCGGAAGTCATGGATTTGGTGCCCAGCTGGCCGTGGTAATCCACACGGGTCACCGGAGCTAAGGGCCGACGTTCGGCTAGTGTGAGATGGGAGAAGCCAAACTTGGAGCAGGGTTCGCGGTTGTCCAAAGGCGGAAAGTCCTCCATGTCGTCATTATCCTCCGTCATGTACAAAGCGTAATGCTGCAGGGACTTTAAAGGAACATCGGGATACTGTAAGGAGGTCTTGTAGCAGACATAGCCAATGACCTCCTGGATTTTGGCAGTGGCTAAGACGCAGATCTTCAACGGATAGTTGCGATCCGGTTCGGGAAGCATATTTAGATACACGTTGATCCTCTTGGTTTGCATTCCCACCTGGGAAGTGCCATCGAAGCGGGCGAACTCAATGAAGCGATTCTGGGTTTGCTTCGGACTCTTGGCCAGCTGCTCAGTGAGTTGGCTCTGAATACCCTCGTCCGACAACTCGTCCTCGTTGGTTTTGGATGGTTTTTCCACGGGTTCATCTTTTTTGAGTGGCAGCTCTTTGCGCCTAAAGAAATCCTCGCTGTCGGGCGGCTGCACTTCCTCCTGGTAGTTGATACTTTTAATACGCGCCGCTTTCCTCTTGGCTATATCCAGTTTCTCTAGTTTCTGGGCAGTGTTGGAGCGAAATCGATGGGCGCCCACCTCCGGATACATCTGAATGTCGAAAGAGTGCGTGGACATATCCTCCTCGTCGTCGCTGAGGTCCAGTCCCGGGTAGCAGATAAAGTCCACCTCCTGGAGCGGTGCATCCGGATGGCGGGTGTTTCGCTCGGGCGTGGTCCCGCCTCCGGCAGGCGGTGGCTTGTGCCCCCGCCTCCTGTGGTAGTGATCCCCTCCAGCGCCCGAGTTCCCAAATTTGCGCAAATAGTGCTTAGGCATGTCATCGCTCAGCATCACCGTTTCACACATGCCCGTGTCATCCGTGGAGATGAAGGAGTTCCGGATGTGGGAAAGCAGCCAGTGCTGATTGGAATAGGTGGCCATGGTGGTAAACAAAAGAAAATCGCTTTTCCAAAATTAATTTCTATTTATCTCAGCATCTCGGGAAAAAGCACTAACGCGATAGGGGCAACTAGAGATGGGACATCGAGTCAGTCACGAGTCACTGCTGGGAGATGGTAGAAAATACCAGACACAGGTCACAGTTTTCATAAAATATATTTAGATGACTTTATTTAAAAGTTAATTATGTTATTAAACTTTCTTTTTGAACTTAAATTTAATGCTAGTGGTTTTAACTTGTATACTTTTAAAACATAAAGAATTAATGCTCCCAATATTGGGGTAAGGGTTTCAGAGTCAACAAAACTTCACAAAGAAACCCAGCTTAATCAAAAAATAAGTAAGTAAAAATTAAATTACAGCTAACTACTACCTAGAATATAACTTCCCTTAAAAGAGGTAGGGGTTTCAGAGTCCACAAAACTCCTCCCAAAAACACAGCCTAATCAAAAAAAAAGTAAGAAAAAACAAGTAGGACATGCATTTAATTATAATTAAAGCAAACTACTAACTAGAAAATAACTTTCAAAAAATTATATTAAAACTCATTCATTCATCTTTGAACCATTCCATTCAGTGGCTTAAATCAAAAATAGTTTAAATATAAAATTCCCTGAAATGTCCTGCTGGCGGTATTATTTGGTTCTAGTATTTTTTTCAACAACTTCTTTGTCGGCATATGGTCACACTCAACCACCATATGACTTTTCTAGACGCGAAAAGTTACAGAATTACAGAATAAGTTAATTAAAGTGAATTTTACGCCGCCTATCCTGCAGATTTTCGATGTCCCCATCTTGAGAACTCCCAGTCGGATAGCATCGATGTGCTAGCCAGCAGCGAGATGGCCGGCATGGAGGTAGAATTTGACGAGGCGGTGGTCAATCAGTTCAGCTGCAAGCGCTGCGACCGCGTAAGTGTCTGGGAAATCGCAGCTATAACCCCGATCTAATCGCTATCCTTTGGTAATAGACTTTTAAAAGTAAGCGGGACCAAACGCTGCACAGGCAGGAGGTGCACAACCACAACAAGACCACCTACGAGTGTAAGTTGTGCGCCAAGAGTTTCTGCAACTCGGGGAATCTTGATCGTCACATGAAGGTCCACAACGATGTTCGACCCTTCGTGTGCAACATCTGCTCTAAAGCCTTCGCCCAGGCGGTGAACCTGCAACGACACTACGCGGTCCACAGCGGGGAGCGACCCTTCACCTGCAACTTCTGCAACAAGTCGTTCACCCAGCAGAGCAACATGAAGCGCCACAAGATGACACACACCGGCGAAAAGCCGTTCCGCTGCCAGCGGTGCGGCAGATACTTCTCCCAGCTGGTCAACCTCAAGAAGCACAAGCTGGGCCACCTCAACGCCAAGCCCTACCAGTGCAACTACTGCGAAAAGGGCTTCACCCAGCTGTCCAACTTCAAGCGCCACCTGCAGTCGCACATCAAGGAGGGCGTCGACGTGGATGTGCCCGCCTCCATCCAGGCGGCGGCCGCTTTGGCAAGGGAGCGCCTTGAGGCGGAGCAGAAACCGTAAGTAGCCCCCAGTTGAAGTCGATCAAGATGCCCTGTGACTCATTTAATCTACTAAGACCTACCTCAATCAATCTATTTGAAACTGATTGCAATAGGCTGTAACTTCAAACCGATGAGATAAGATAATTAGAAATTCGATCATTTTCTTTTTTCTATTATAATCTAATAGGTTATGAAATCAAATAGATCAGATACATAAGCGTGAGCTTTTTACAGGCAATCGAACAATAGATTAAATTTCTTGAATCAGTTATTATTTAATATCTGGGCTGCTTGGTTAATTTACTTATTTGCTCTGTGATTTGAAATCGTCCTATTGGCTTATAAAATTTTAGTGGATGGATACCTTGAAACCTGACTTAGAGTTTGAGGTTATAAATAGGCTTTGAAGCTTAAGAAGTAGAAAGTTATTTCATGTGTTACTTCATAAAAATGCATATCATTAAAAGTTACAGAAAATATTCATACATAAAAAAATTATACTTATAGATCCTATTTTTTAGTTAATGTAAAGATACTACTCGTGGTATATTTGAATAGAAGTATCAGTTATTACGCAGAAATTTCAGAAAAGACAGCTCCTTCTTAATCTTTCATTAGCAAAGTACCAATTTAACCGGTTTCCATTTGCAGAAGCTTTTTCGAGTGCATGGTGTGTCGGGCCATCTTCGATACGTTCGCCGACTACGAGAAGCACGAGAGCAAGTGCCATGAAGACCACGAGCGGGCCCAGCTGGAGGTCAACCAGATGTCCCACATGCATCCCGATGATTATTTGCCCATGAAGTTCGCCGTGCCCGATCTGGATACGCACGAAATCATAATTGAGACTACACATTAGAAATGGCGATAATGTTAAACAAAAAACCACGAAAACACACAAACCAACTCACACCTACACATACAAATAGCGGCGATTGCGTCAAGAAGATAAATTGTGAAGAATATTGCATTGAAAATACAGATATGAATATATATGCAGGCCAACTTAGTTCTCCATTGAATTACGTCAATAAATGCAATAAATATGCAGAAAAAACTGGTATCTCCTTGGCTTCCCCAATCGCTAATCATTCGATCTCTGTTTACATTGTTGCGTGAGCCGTTAAACCAGGCTAACTGGGCGATTTACGGACCCTAAAGACGTTTTAACTGCACCCTTTATTATGTGCGATTTTACGGCCATATGTATGATATTTGCCGGATTTTCCCGCCACACATCATCATTGGCAATTGCTCGCTTGCAAGTCCCAAAGCCTGACTGTGCGTAAACTGTCGCTTTAATGACACATTTTCCGCAGCCGTAAAACTGCCCTTTTCCGGCTTGTCTGGCAGACATTCTTGCGTCATTAATGGGGGGCAAATATGTTTGCCAAATATTCAGGTTACTCATTGTGGTCGGGAAAGTCCAAATAAGAAAGGTTGAGCAGTTACCCGACAGGTCCATAATTTATACATGTGCCTGCCACAATGATTTCTCGGCTATTTGATTGAAACTAATTAAAGGCACGTTCCTGACTTGTTTACAAGCCACCAGTCATGGAGCAATAATTGATCGTAGGGTCCTTCTTATCAGCATCCAACGCTCGCTCTGACCATGTCCTTGTGGCTCTCGCAGTCATCGTTTTTGCTGCTGCAGCGGCACTAAATCAAACTATTTATACATCGAGCACCCCGGACTCACTCTTCCGTTCTCTCGAGGAAATAATATTTCATGTCCACATCGTTGTCCTGCCTCCATTTTCTTCCTGTGCATGTGTGTGCGTTCAATTGGCATTCGGTTGCTTAAATGGTCACTGCTTGGGGCCTCGGACTAATAGGACCACATTTATTAGGCTGCCCAATGTCATTTGTTATAAATTTATTATGGCAACCGGCCCGGCCCTGATCCGAACTCATAAGTTTATACAGTCGAGCAAAGCTAAGAAGAAACTGCTTTTGATTTGTAGTTGGGATTACAAGTTCTCTTTTTTGTAAACATTTTGTATGTTTATTTTGCTAATTAAGTTGGGAACGACTAATTATCGTTGATTTGAACTTACAAAAATCAATGAAAATAAAAATGGTTATCCTTAAGTTTCAAATAGTTAAATTTTGCAAAGATAGAAAGTTTAAGCATACATTTCAAGACGATTCGATTGGCGGGCCCAAATGTATTTAAAATGAAAGCAATTTAAACTATGACGACAAACGGCGATTAAATAATGTTGATTGTCATTGAATTTCCATTGTGTAATAGTGGCCCTGCCTCAGCTTATATGTCTGCTGCAGATTTGGAGTTTGTTTTCAAATGAAATCAATAACTGGTCCTGCCCCGACCACCCCTTTTAGCAAATGGGTCGGTTTGGGATTGTAATTTTTGTGTGTGTGCGATTTTTTATACAATCCAAATATTTGCACATCGAGATTGTGTGGCAATAACGGTTCGTTTCCCGGCCAACCCTTCACCCCTTCATCTTCATTGCCAATTGTTTGCTCAACAGTGCACAGCATGCAAATAATCACACTGGAATCTGGAATGCACAAACATTTAGAGGGGCTTTTGGGGGCGTGGCGGCTATGATGTCAGGCAGAGTTAATGAGTTCTGGATTTTTATTATTTTTTTTAACCAAACGAGTTGACAAAGGCAAACAGCATCATCAGTTTTGCACACGCAGTTGAGTCATTAAGGCCAACGCCTGGGGTTAGGCAACGTATTTTTTTGTGCGGAGAAAGCCCTGTTCTAAAAGCCAATTTCCATTTAAGATTTTGTTTTTGTTTGACATTCAGAAAGGGCCACCCTCATGTCCTAAATTGATTTGGCAAATGCTCCATCCAGCCATCATCATCATTACCATTATCAGCTCTGTGCTTCTTGTCGTTTGGCTTACAAGTCCAAACCAAAGCCACAAACTCGTAGCCAAGTCAACGCCAGCCCGTGTAAAAAGCCGCAGAAAGGAGCTCAAGTAGTCGTTGCTTTTCATGTTGCTCCTGTGCTGCTGGTGTTGCTGCGGTGCCGTTGGTGTTGCTGCTGTTGGTGTTGCTGCGAGCTTGCTTTGACCGCACATTATGGCCACCAAGTGGCTCGCAAAACGAGTATGTCAGCGGCAGGAAACGGGGAATCACATACATGTTGCTGGCGGGATGATAGCTGCAATGTTGCACCAGCAACTGCTATTGCAATACCGCCGCGTAATTGAGTTTTACATCTGCAATGGAGCTGCCAATTGCGTTTGCCCCCAGATTCTCTGGCCATATTCGTTTTATCCGTTTTCCCCATTCAATACTCCATAATTAGACATGTGGCCAGCGGGCAATTGAATTTTATTGGTAACAAAAACTGCAGAATGGGGCCATTTGATTGTTCGATTTTCAATGGCGGCGTGAAAACATACGCCTGAAATCTATCCAAATGAAGTCATTGCCATGCGAGGCGACCCCATTCGCCCATCTATCTATTTATACTATGTATAGTGGGTTTTGGCATTGTTTTGTTTGGTATTTTGCGTATGCCACTCACAGCGGATGTTTTGGCTGGCGAAACGTGACACCCACAGACTGTGTGTCTGTCCTGGGAGTCCTTGTGTCCCCGTGTCCCCGTGGCGCTCACTTCCACAGATAGGCAATAGAAATGGTTATCGCACACATATGCACAGCGGCTGTCAAACACGCAAGCCGCTTAAACTAACGCCTCTGTGCGTGTGTGTCTTTGTTTGTGTGTGTTTGGCTGGTTTCGGCCAGGTTAATTTGGGAAATGTGCCAAGCACCTAACGGGCAAGGCTTCTAATAATACACTCTACAAAAACAAAAAGTTATTTAAAAAATTGATGTTTTCATTATAACATACTGGAGAAAAATAACCACCTGACTCCTTACACCAAATTAAATTTTTGAAGGTGCAATTAATAACAAAAGTATATTTCCTGAAAATTAATGTTTATAATATAAAATTTGGATTATAAAAATAAAACCAACGAAGCAAAAAATTATAAATATCTTAAAAAGTATTTATAATCATTACAACATTATTTAATGCCTTGGAAAAATATGTAAAATGTCTGTTTATTTTGTTGAGAGTGTGAACCTAACTTTAAACATAAATCATAAATAGTTTGTGACATTTTCAAATCTCCCCCACCATCATTAAACTTGTAAGCAACAAATGAGCCCACATGTCGTATGAGTAATATACACTTTTTAAAGCTAAAACAGCAGCTAAGGCACAGCAGTATGCACCTTACTAAAATTTATTACAACCAATTTATGAAATTTAAGGAATTTGATTAAGTACGCACGAATTTTCAAAGACATTTTTTTCTTAAGTTTAGAAATTATTTAGTTGTTGTCAAGCACAATTTCGTCTAGGATCCAAGGAAGGATCTGACACCTGCTTAACTCCACTGCGCCACTCGGGAGCATAATAATTACCATGAGTTGGCATTTTGGGAGTCATCACAGACACCTGTTCTAGACAAGGGGGAATTGGTTATGACTTAGTCTGCCTGTTTAAACAACAAGCAGGTGGTGGGAAATCAACTGGGTTGACAGGAATGCAATGTGATCTACGATAAAGCTGGAAATGATTGCTCATCAAAAGCGTTGACTTACGCTTATTTGGTTGAGGATGTTACTCGTTTTATTGCCGCCCATTTTGGCTGCAAACAAAGACGAAAGTGTAAGTGCAGAACGTGCTTAGACAATGACCACAAATCCCGCCTGGATAATGAAAATTTATGTTCGCTTAAATAGTCCAAATGTCGACACATGCCGGCAGCCCATACCCCCGATAAACGTAGTGTTGTATTTTTCCCGGAGTTGCTCTCTATCGAGCACATATTGAAATCAAGCGTGAACCATGCCCTCAAGCTGTTGGTGCGCAGTATATGCAAATGACCAGTGGGTGGTGGGGGCGGAATAAATTAGGTCAGTAGTTATTAAATGCATTTTATTCATAAGCTTAAAGCCCCGAACACGCGTTTCCAGTTGGTGGCAACAGACAAATTAAATTTCTGGCTGGACTGTCGAGGATTTCCCTCGACTGCATTTGCATATCAAAGCAAATCCGGGCCATCCGGACCTTCGTCTGCTCTCTGGCTATAAATATTTGATGAGCTACTGGAATGCAGTTGCCAGTGGGCCAGTTGGCCAGAAGGGTAAGTTCAATAATAGATTAGCATTCAAGTACTTTCCCATGTTTTGTTCTGTCTTTATGTATAGCTGGACAACAGAGTGGATTTGAATGCCTTAAATTCTTTCTTCTGACGTGCAAATAATTTATTTAAGTCAGACATATTTATTTGTATAAATAATATTGCCCCACATTACGTGCCAGCCTTTTTCCTTTTGCAAGCTGGCAAGTGTGTAAAAACATGACCTTTATGAGGTCCACTCCTTGAACACCCTTAATTGCTTGTCAGAATCACAAACCGGATCTGGCACTTTCGCCTGCTAATCCTTGCTAACAATTTAGTTTGATTATGGTTGCAATTAAAGTGACTTGTTTGGTCATATCCGTTCTAAAAGTGTTTCGTGGGTGTATCCTTTGTTGCCAACTAACTACTAATTGTAGTCTTATGGGGTAAAGTTGCACCATTATCCACATTGTGGATCGGTTGCGCAAGCTGTTTGCCATTTTGATTAGAAGTTGTTGCATATTGCCGCTCTAAAATGGCCTGCCAGTCTTTATTACGTATACGCCACATGGGAGCAGCTGTGCAAGCAAAAGAAAATCATTAATGTTGATGGGGGGCGAATGAAAAATGCAGCCAACTATTTATGATGCATGCCAGTTGAGATGGAGAATTCCATTTCCTGCAGCAAAGAATTTATATTTTTTCTCTCAAATATATTGATTAGCTTTCTTGTTTTTCTCTAGCAGATTTTGCCATTGATTTGAATTTAAAATGAAGGCCACATCAAATTTAATATATATTCAAATATGAGCAGCAGACTGAAGCGAAGCAGGCAGTCAATCCACCCTCTTCAATCTAGTCTGTGGACCCTTCCAGAAGAAATTCTGGATGTAAATAAAACAAAAAGCCAAAATTGCAAAGACTCGACCAGTG